ACAGACTCTTTGGCTGACACAGACTCACACTAGGCTCTGCAGTGAGCTCCAAGCCTTCACCTGTCCACTGGATCCTCCTGCTCTCCAGACCACAGACGACCATTTTGAATTCTTTTTTTTCTTTTTTTGGTTTTTCTCTGGTACCGGGAACCGAACTCACGACCTTGCGCTTGCCAGGCAGGCGCTTTTGCCGCTGAGCTAAATCCCCAGCCCCATTCCTCAGTATTTCTTGTGGGCCATCACAGCCACTGGCCATCCTTAGCCTCAGCTCGTACTAGTTGGGGGGCGGCCCCTGAGAACCCCCAACCCATTGTCACTGAGTCAGCTGGGCCTGCAGGGTTCCCTAGGCTAGCTGACCTGTGTGCAGCCTGGGAGTGGGTAGGAACCTGGGAGCCCTCTTGGGGCTGACCGCTGTCGCGCCCATCTGGTGGAAGGAGATCATGCTGGCCAGAGTCTGGAGGGTGCAACTCGCCCTGCATGTCCACTCAGCAGGGCTCAGGCTTGTGCTGACCTCCGCAGGGAAGGTCTGAGTTTCTTTACTGTCTGGGAGGGGAGGGAACAGCCTGGGCCACCTTCCTGACCTTTGCCCCCTTTTGGATGGGCCTTCCTGTGCCTGGTGGTGGCTGGAGGGGGTCTTGGCAGAGCCCCATGAGTGCAGCTGTCCTTTGTGGGGGGCCTGCGTTGGGATGTCCTGGAGCTCCTGAAGGGGGTGGGTGTGAGGTGCCTGGGGCACCTTTTTGAGAAGGAGGGTTTGGGGGCGGGGTGGGCAAGGAGGCGGGGGCAGTCCCTGGCGCCAGCCTGTTTCCTGGAAGGGCAGGAGGGGTGGTCAGCGGGTCCGCCCCTGGCCCGCCCCGCTGAAGGGCTGGTGGGTGGGCCATGTGAGCCCTCCCCTCAGGGCCCCCCGGCAAGGCTCATTTGGCAGCGCACGCCTATGCGAGGGCTCTGCAAGGAAAGCCTGGGACAGGAGTGAGTCGTCGCACTGCCGTCGCCCCGCAGAGCAGACATGCACCGGCGGCGGCCGGGCGCGCCCCTGGGCCTTGCGCCCGCGCAGGGGCTCTGAGGCCGCCGCCCCCACGAGAGCGCCCCGGTGCTGAGTCGCGCGAGCCATGCAGTGCTGGGCCGCAGCCGTGGCCGTGGCCCTGCTCTGGCCACAGCTCATGCTGCTTAGTGGTGTCAGCGCGCGGCGGGAGCCCAAGAGGCCGCGCCTGCCGGGCCAGCGTACAGAGTCTCCCAACACCACTGCATCCGACAGTGAGGGGCTACCAGGCTCCGCCAAGGTATGCGTGGGCCGGGCGTACGTGGGCATGGGCCCTGCCTCCAGGCTGTCCTTTCAGCCGTAACTGCTGCCCCTGTTTTGGTTGGACCTGACTCGGGAGCCCCTGTACCTGGCAGCCAGCTCCTGCCTCTGCCGGTCTGGGAGGGGCTAGAGAGGAGAGAACCTGCCCAGGGGCTGTAGTCCTCCCTTTGATGCCTCAGGGCCTGTGATTTGGGCAAACTGCTCCCTTAGGTGTGATTGCTAATTCCAGTGGGTTGGGGAGGGGCTGCATGCAAGGTGGGTCACCAGAACCCATATAGGGAGCATGGTGCCAGTTCCCAGAGGCTGGAGACAGCATGGTGAGCCCGTCCACTGTATTACCTGAAGACCAGGGGCCTGGGTTTATTCCCTCTGGGCAGAGGGTTTCAGAACACTGGCCATAGGGTCTCCTGCTGTTGCCAGTGCTCCTGCCCTGGCAGGGCCCCCAGTCCCACACTCTGATCCTAGCATCCCTCCTCCTAAGGGCAGCTCCATGGCAGCCAGCCTGGGTACCTCTCAGCCCATGCAGACCCCCAGAGCCAGAGGCCATTTTCCACATGGGAAACTGGGGAAAGCAATGCGGAGTGGGCTGAGAGCTGGCTCCCCCAAGGCATTGGTCAGGGTCCTGGGATGTGGGGGATGCTGGCAGGGGTAGGGTCCTAGTCACCATCAGTGGAGGAAGGAGATGCCCACTTGACATGGGCAGCAGCTTGCCTGTCTGCCCAGAAGGGGCAGTACCGCAAAGGGAGGGAGCCAGCTGTGTGGCCCCCATGTCCTGTCCTTTCTGCTGGAGGGGCCAGTGGGCGTCAGGGGTGGGGTGTTGGCCAGGGGGACAGGCAGAGACTGAATCGTGAGGCAGTGGGGCGTGTTCAAATGCTCTCTCTTCTCTTTCTCTGCCTGCTCCTTTGGCTCCAACCAGATAGGATGGAAGTATATCTGGTTCCTGGGGAGGGTCAACAGATAGAACACTGTTCCCAGCTCCCAGGAGGGCTGTTGGGGCCAGGACCTACCTCAGGACTGGACACTTCCTGGCAAAGAGAGGACCCCTGGAACAGCCAGGCTCTCCCAGCCAGCCAGCAGCAGCCTGCTCCTGTCCGTTCCAAGCACCTCCTGCCAGTTGCCCTGTTGTCCCCAGAAACAGACTTGGTCCCCCACCAGGCACACACTCCCCAGCCCACTCCCCTGTATTCCCTTCCCTCACCCAGGGTCAAGCCCATTGCCACGGACACATTAGGTTGGTGGGAAGCCGCAGCCCCATGTGCACCCAGGCATGCCCTTCTGCATAGGACATGGCCAGCTGTCACACCCAGGCCTGCACAGGCCCAGGGTGCCCAGGAATCAGGCCCTGGCTCCGCGGAGGCCCGAGTCCATCCATGTCTTCTGGGTGCCCCTGCTCATCAACATGTCTGAGTTCTGTGCCCAGGGGTGGCCAGCCCCTGTAGTTCTCTGGGCTGCAGGGTCCTGTGATCCTGAGTATCCCCGGTGACCTGAGGTCCCAGCTCTCTGGGGCACGGGGGCAGAGGCTAGCAGGCCTGGTGGTCAGTGCACTAGCCCTGTCCCCTGGCCATCCAGCCACCGGAGGCCTCAGGGCCTGAGTTCACCGATGCCCACATGACATGGCTGAACTTTGTCCGTCGGCCAGATGATGGGACTTCCAAGCGACGGTGCCGGTGCAGGGACAAGAACTTGGTGAGTCCCTGGTCACTTTGAGGCCAGCCCTCCAGAACCCTCTCGGGTCTGAGCCAGGGCAGGGCTGTCTGTGGCTCTTACCAGCTCCTTCACCTTCTGTCTCCTTACAGCGAGGCCTCTTGGGTCCCCCAGGCCCCCCTGGGCCCCCTGGACCCCCAGGGTCCCCCGGTGCCCAAGTCACCCCAGAGGCCCTGCTGCAGGAGTTTCAGGAGATGCTGAGAGGTAAGGCTTCTGGCAACTCCTGCCAGGTCCTGAGGCCCCATGAGGCTGGGAAGGGTGGACCCCCATTGCCTTCCTTCCCACAGAGGCCACAGAACGACGGTTCTCAGTACTGCTGGACACATGGCTGCCTCAGGTGGGTGGCCAGCAAGTAGTGGTTGAGGCCTTTCACTGCCGGCTGAAGGGCCCCATGCTGGTGGACCAGAGGACCCTGATGGAGCTACGGGGCTTCCAGGCTGTGAGTGGGGCCAGCCAAGGGCTTGGGATGGGCAGCCCATTAAGAGGGCTGGGTCCTACCATATACCAGAGTAGGCTGGGCAGGGTGGTGGGAGTGGGGAGGCCTCAGGTGGCTCTGCTCCTTTGGGAGCTCTTGGCACTGTCCAGCCTTGGGGCATGTGGCCCAGGTGGATGTGGACTCCTGGATCTACCTGTACTACAAGGTGGGGCCCTGTAAGAGCCAGCCACTTACCCGCTGCCCCACAGCCCACAGCCCAGGGTGCCTTCCTGAGGGGGTCCGGACTGAGCCTGGCCTCCGGCCGATTCACGGCCCCCATCTCTGCCATCTTCCAGTTCTCTGCCAGCCTGCACGTGGGTGAGCCAGGCGGCCGTGTGTGCAGTGGGAGGTGGGGGTGGGCTGGCTTCAGGTGGCCACAGACTGCTTACTGGGATTCCTGGGCCCCAGACCACCCTCCCTGACCCTGCAGCCACCTCTGGGCCTGTCCTGAAGCCAGTGTCTCCACAGACCACAGTGTACTACAGGGCAGGGCCCGGCTGCGAGCCCGGGACACTGTGCGTGTCCTCATCTGCATAGAATCTTTATGCCATCGCCACATGTGAGTGTGCCCACCATGGGCCCTGGGCTGGGTAGTGGGTGGCATCCTGGTGCCCTTGCTGACCCTGTGGTGCTATGCCTAGGTCCCTGGAGGCCATCTCAGGCCTGGAGAGCAACAGCAGGGTCTTCACAGCACAGGTGCAAGGGCTGCTGCAGCTGCAGGTGAGGGCCAGATGAGGGCACCCCCACAGGTGCTTGGGACTCCGTGTGCTGTGGGTGGGCAGGTGCCACACTGGGGCTACGTGGATGCTGATGCCTGATAGTGCCCGCAGGCTGGACAGTACGCCTCTGTGTTTGTGGACAACGGCTCTGGGGCGGCCCTCACCATTCAGGGCGGCTCCACCTTCTCTGGTCTGCTCCTGGGCACATGAGGGCGCTGGGAAGGAACTGCCAGCCACCTTGGGGAGAAGGTGAAGAGGATCCCCATGTTGACCCCTGTGGTCACAACAATAAAGAGCCCCAGCCCTCCCTGTTGCCTGTGGGTGCTGTCTGGTCATGGCTTTTGTGGAGCTGGGAGCTGGGCTGCGGAGGTCTGGAGTGGGTTTGGGAAGCAGAAGTGGGGCTGGGAATCTAGCTCAGCAGCACAGCACCTGCCTGGCAAGCGCAAGGTTGTGAGTTCGATTTCTGGTTCAAAAAAATAGAAAAAAAAAAAAAAAAAAAAAAAAAAAAAAAAAAAAAAAAAAAAAAAAAAAAAAAAAAAAAAAAAAGAGCAGAAGGTAATGTCCATGTTACTCCATGGGGCATAGCATGGGGGGACATGGCTGATGCCCCACACAGATGAGGGGTGGTCAAGCTGCAGGCAGCTCTTGCCCCCAGCTGTTTTTACCAGGAGGGCAAGGGTAGATGTCCCTGTAGGTCTCTGCCCACCTGTCCAGCCTTGGTGAGAGCAGGCTACAGCTCTGTGAAACCCATTGTCCTCCAGCTGGAGGCAGGATGGTAGGGTGTAGGGGAGTCAGGTGAGCAAGGAGCACCTGGGGCTGAGTCCTGGTAGAGGCAGAAGGGATCCAGGCTGTGCTCTCACGCTGGCCACAGGCACTGCCTGCCACACTGGAGAGCGCTTGTGGGCTCAGAGGTACCTGGGGCCCAGGCTTGGTGGGGGGACACTGCCAGCAGATGTCCACATCTCGCCACTTTCCCCAGAGATGGCTGTGGATGTGGGACATGGGCCAAGTACCCATTTACTGTGGCCCTGGAACCATAGCCAGGCTTCATGTCCTATGGGTTTGAGCCCTTTGGGCCCACACCCCTACCCTATTTTGTTTTCAGCAAACCCAGATTAAAGAATGTAAATTGTTCTTAGGATGTCCCAGCCTGAGTCAGGTGCTGAGGTATCATCTCCATTGGCACCCATGCCCTCACAGGTGGCAATGGGCTTCTGGCCTCTGACCACCCCACAGATGATGTGGGGGCCCAGTAGACCCTGGTGATCCTATCCCCAAGACTGCGTAGGGAGCAGCCTCCCCCATCCCAAGGTCTCCTTGAAGAACAAAGGCTGTGGGTGCAGTGCAGCAAGGAGGTGTCTTGAGGGCCATCACCTCTCCCTGGGACCCTGGTCTGCTCAGCCATGCAGGTATGGGGCCTGACCCAGTCAGGTACTGTGGTGGTGCTGAGTGGGCTCTGATCCATGCCTAGAAGGCTTTCCCTCCAACCCCAGCCATCCTCACCACTCTGCTAACCTTGGTGGCATTGGCTGGGACCATCTGGAGACCACTGCAGCTACTACCACCAGCCCTTTCCAATGAGGAAGCCAAGCAGGCCACAAGACAGGCATGGAGCACCCCTGGGGTCCTCAGGGGCTGGCTTGTGACAGGTTCCCTACCCATGCTCCCATTTCCCCAGTACTATGACCCTGGTAGGCCATGAGGCCCAGGCCAGAGGCACAGGACAGGGCCCCCAGCACCCTTGCCAGGCGTGACCAGCTTGTAGGCCTGGGGCCTCCCTTCTGTAGTCCCAGCCCTGGGGGGGGGCACATTGCTTAGTGCTCACCACAGAGGGCAAAGGTCCACCACTCATTGAGGTGGGGAAACCGAAGGACTTCCCAAGGCCTGTCCTGAAGATGCTGAGGCCATGGGCCCTGAGGGGCCTGGGCAGGGAGGGGAGGGTGGCAGGACACGTGCGCAGAGCCCCAGGACACCAGAACTCTGGGTACACCAGCCTTCTCTGCCTGCTCCTCAACAATGGTTCCTGTCTTGTGGACTGGGGCTGATGTCCAGTGCTTTCCAGACCCCCAGGCCTGCAGCCCTGGGGTCTCCTGACTCACTGTGGCAACCACCTCTCTACCCCTCCTCTGGGCTGAAATGACTGAGGTGCAAACAGCAGGATGGACAGAGGGCCCCAGAGCCCCACAGGGAGATGAGGGATGGGAGACATGCAGGCAGGGCTGGCTGCAGAGCCAGGCTTGGGCAGGTGGCCAGGACTGGGGTGGGCCCTCTGTCTCGGCGCCTGACTACCTGCATTCTCTGTCTCCTCTTTCCCAATTCCTGCCCCTCATTGGGGGTCATTAGCCACTTAGCTGCAATTCCCCTGGAATGTGGCTGAAGGCCCAGCAGCACAAGGTTGGCTGCCGGGCAGGGTAGGAGCCAGAGACAAGAGGGTCCAGGCCCCAGACCCACAGCACACAACACAGGCGGCCCAGCCTCCTGCTGCACCCAGCTAGACTGTGTGGCTCTGGTGTTCTGAGGTGAACAAGAAACACCTGTCAACACCCAGCCTGAACACCAGCCTGTGGGCCACAGGTGTCCATACTGTGACTGCTGGGGGCAGGCCCTGGCTGCGTCCCCTGGGTCAGAGGGACCCAAGGAAAGGCAGTTTTCTTCTCCTGGTCTCTTGCTTTTGGGGCTGTACTATGAGGGGGCCCAGGCATGTGCCCACTTCCCAGCCTCAGCTGGGGCTAGGGCCAGATGGAGCAGCTGGCCCTGTGTGGTACTGGACTCCTCGGTTGGCCCCTGACCCAGAGCCTTCCCTGGAGCAGCGGGAGGCACTGGCTGGCCTGGCCAACCTGCGGCCCCACTGACTTCCCAGAACCTCAGTCTGACCAAGCTGGGGTTGGGGGTGGCAAGAGCCGGTGCCATGGCTCCTGATCAACCTGGAGGGGTGATTCTGCTGTAGCTCGGCCTTATAGGGGGTGGACTGAGCCCTTCCTGGTCCTGGGGTGCAGAGGCTGTGCTGAGTTCAGTCTTGGACCAACATCTGCCCCCATCCCCATGCCCTGGACACACTGTTGGGTTTGGACACAGCAGGAATGTGGACCTCATATTTGAGGTGGCCGGGACGTTCTTTTAGGGCCATTCAGGAGCCAAGAAGGGGAAAGCGGGGCAGGGTGGGGGCTGTTGGCGATGGCCAGAGGCCAGGCTGCAGCTAGGGCCACCTGTCGGGTGTAGGTGGCTTTGACATTGCCAGACAGCAGTCCCTTCTGCCGCAGTCCCAAGGTATAAAGGGAGCTGGCTTGGTCCATGCAGCCAGGTCAGGCTGGGGGTTCCCTCCTAGCTCTCGAGGAACCTCAGTGTCTCATCCATGAGCTCCAGACTCAGACCCTGTCCTGACTCGTGTCACCTGGGCTGAGGACTAAGAAGACTAAGAGGCCCTCTGGAGGGCCTGTGCTCCTCTCCCATCTCTGTACCTGGGCACCCAGGTTGGCAGGTGAATGTCCACAAGGATGACACCAGGAGCCAGTGTCCTGGGAGTCCTCTGTGTCCGTGCGGGTAGTGTGTCTGAGGGTGCTTTCTGCCCTGGGACCAGGGCTTCTTCAAGGAGCCAGAACCACCAGGCCCCTACAGAGCAATTTCAGGGCAGCATGCAAGGCCAGAGCCTGTGCTCACCACTCTTCCAACTCAGAGGGCTATGGCAGAGCTGAGCTTGGTGGCACATACCTGCAGACCTGCTGCTCAGGAGGCTGAGAGGAAATTGGCTTGAGCTCAGGAGTTCCTGATCAGCCTGAGATTCCATCTCAGGATGGAGTGAGACTCCATCTCAAAACACAACACAAGGCAAACATAGAGGGTTCTTTGTCACTAGCTAGAGGAAGAAAAACGATTTAAAGAAGTGACTGTGGTCATGGTCCTTGCTGTCAGGGAGGCCCAGTGGCATTTGTCATGCTGGGCAAAGTCAGCTGGTGGGCTGGGCTTTGAGCTGGTTCCCTGTGATGGCCATGATCCCAGGTGAGGGCGCTGAGTGGAAGTTTCAGGGGCTCCTGGGCCATGTCCTGGAGAGTTACTGGGGAGCAGTGGGGCCTCTTGTCTGTGGAATCCATACTGGCCTCACACAGGACCGTGGCCAGGAGCTGGGCAGCATGCAGTGTGCGGAGCCTGAGCCCGCTGCTCACCACTGAACACAGGTGGCCTGCCTCTGGAATCCCATTCAGACCACTGCAGCTCTGGCACCTCATGGCCTGGGGCCTCCTGCAGTCTGAGGTCTCCTTAACCCTGGGCTTGGAGCTGCGTCTGGGGAGGCTGGGAGGCAGGCTTGGGGGCACTGGCATCTCTGCCTGCCTGCAAATCTTTTTTTTTTTTTGGTACTGGGAATCGAACTCATGACCTCAGGCTTGCCAGGCAAGCACTTATGCTGCTGAGCTATATCCCCGGCCCCCTGCCTGCGAATCTGACAGTTGCTCCGGTGGGCCAGGCACGGAAGTTTTGGGGACAAAGGATCTTTGTTCAGGAGAACGTGGGGTGCAGCCTGCTCTGGGGCAGTGACTCATGGGTTGCTTGGCTGTGATAACATCAGTTTCGAAACAGGCGTGTCACACGTATGGCCTGGCAGGCTCCTGCCCTTGCCTGTGCCCACAGCCCTGAGACCGCCCCACTGGGGCTGGGCCTGCGAGGTCATGGTGGGACGCTGGGTGTTCGAGGCTGAGCAAACCCCATTTTGCAGCAAAAGATCCCCACGAGCAGCACCCCAGCTCCCCTAACTCTGCCCTTGGCTCCCTGCTACTCCTGCAGGCCCAGTCCCATCAGCCTCGAGGGCCGTTCCCTCCACTGTCCTAGGCACACACTGGACACCCCGAGGCCCAAGGAGCCTCTTCCAGGCAACTGTGTGATTCTCTATCTGAGGCTGGCAGGGCTGGGTGCTGTTGGGAGGCAGGCGAGACACGGTGGCCCTTCTGACGCCACCTGGGAACTGAGCTGGCGCTGGCCATCCATCACTCTTCTGGGGATCAGAAGTGGGCGGCTGGGGGGCCACAGGGCCCCTCGGGGGAGGCTGGGCTGGCCGAGACCCTCAGACGCCACTGGGGGGAGGGGCTGGGCTTGAGTTTCCTCCTCCTCGGGTCACAGGGCTGGGTCAGGCCCTGGGTCAGTGGGAGGTGGAGCTGGACGCAGGCCCACTTGGGCTGGTGGCTGCGCAGGGGGGTGTTTATCCTAGAGGATGATGCTGACAGCTGTCCAGGCTCCTACACCCTTGCCTGCGTCCCCTCCTCCTCCTCAGTCTTGAACAGCATCCAATCCAGCTCCAAGGCCAGCTGGCAGGTATGGTGCCATGGTGCCCCCATGCCACACTGAGGCCACACCGCAGTATCACTGGGGGCCAAGACGAGTGCAGAGGTGTGTGGCTGCTGGGGAGGGAGACAGGCTCAGGTCGGCTGCATCCTCAGCACCCGCCTATCCCCTGTGTCACCCCACAGCGTTCCCTTGGTTCCAGCCTCCCCCTTGGGCCACCCTGCCTTCCTGGGGGAGGCTCGAGACTCCTGGGAGAATGGTGAGGTGGGCTCCATTGAGATCCCGTGGGGACCCCACAGAACAGGGTAAAAGAGTTATGTGTCAGTAGAGGGGGAAATATGGGGTGGGTCCCATAGGCATCAGAGATGGTAGAGGCCCCAAGAGCAGGGCTGGTGATGTCCAAGGTATCCTGGGTCCCAGTATTTGCTCAGAGACCCCAGAGCTGGGCCAGTCCTGTGGTGACTGCATAGGTAGACATGGCCTCAGGGCAAGGCAGGCCTGTCACCTGCTCCCTGGGCTCTATGGGAGAGGCCAGCTCACCTGAGCCTCTTAGAAGAAAACAGAAGACATGGTCAAGCCCTTTCCCAGGCAAGCACCAAAGAGCACATTAAATTCAACTGGAAAACTGGCACATGGCTAAGCAGCCCAGGATGCAGCAGGGCTTCAAACACCAGCCTCCTCTCTGTTGCTCTTCAGCTCTGCTCAGGAACCTGCAGCGTCTGTGGCCAGTGCTCCTCGGCCTCAGGGCCTGGGAGGCCCCTCCCTGTCTCCATCCCATGCCCATGTGGAACCTGGAATGTTCTGGTTTCTGGGGTTAGAGCGCCACATGCCCGTGACTTAAGGCACAGTTTCTGAAAGACCCAAATCAATGCCTGAGCTGGCTACTTACCCGAGGCTGCAGGTGGACGCCTCTGCTGCCCCCAAGGGTGCTGCCACCTCAAGGTTCCATGGGAACCTCAATCATGGCCTCTCTCCTGCCTGTCTCCGCTTCCTGTAATGGCCAGTCCTACTGGATCAGGGACCTGGTCTTAACTAATCTCAGCTAATCATATTTCTAAATAAAGTCCCCTTCACCACAACCACAGTTAGGACTTAAGTGCGGCACAGTTCAGTCCTCAAGAGTTTGAGAACCAGTTACAGCTGGGCACAGCCTGTGAGGTGGGTGGGGATGCAGACCTGGACACTCCATTAGGCGCCCAGGACTCCTTCCCCCAGGGCCTGCTCCCAACCTCCCCTCAGTTGAGCTGCCCTGAGGGCTGAGAGGTGGGGCGGGGGCTTAGGAGACCCAGACTCAGGCAGTCTCTGTCCTCAGGCAGCTGTTGAGACCACAACCCTGTCTCAAGCTGGTCTGGTGCCTCCGCCCCACCTGGGGGAAGACAGGCCACAGTCACCAGGAGGGGGCAGCAGAGGAACCCATCCTTCCCCCTGATCCCTGCAGCCATGCACCTTGGGGTGGTGCTTCACCACCACATTCCCCGTCCAGTGTCCCCTACTGTAGGGGATGGGTGTGATCTTAGGGCCACTTTAGGAGAGACATTGGTCTGGCCTAGGAACAGCAAACTGCTGAGTGCCCCAAGCATCCTATAAAGGTGGGCTTAGGGATCCAACTTCCGTCTCCTAGGGACCTGCTGGCCTGGGTCAGACAGCGTAGGCCAAGCTGTGGGCTCCAGGAGAGGTGTGAGTGCCTTGGCCAGCACCCCAGCAAGGAGACTCTGCAGGGCAGATGTGAGGTGTCAGACAGGAAAAAGCCCAGAACTAAAGCAGAGGCCAGCAGGAGGCAGGCTGGGCTGCTTGAGGTCCATTGCTCATGGTCAGTCCACTAGCTCCAGGACTGTGAAGAGCAGGTGGCCACAGGCTACTCTTCAGAGGACCAGGCTCTCCAAGTCCTCACCACTCTGACTACAGCATGGATGAGGGTCAGTCAGGGTGGCTCTGTTCTGCTTTACAACTTAATGTTTCAGGTTGAACAATATGAAGCTTCCATTTTTTTGTTTTTTGAGACCATCTCAAAAAACTGCTATGTAGTACAGGCTGGTCTTGAACTCATGGTGGTCCTCCAGCCTTAGCCTCCCAAGTGCTGACATCATAGGCATGTGCCACACCTGGGTGAAACTTCTGTATCTGTAGGTCAAAACTGTTGCAGGCCAGAGGTATAGTTCAGTGGCACAGCAAGCATGAGGTCATACGTTTGATTCCCGGTACCTACACACAAAAGAGTTGCATGTGGGACCTCTGTGTGCTTCTCCTGAATTCTCACAGGGCCCAGGCCTGGCCTCATGGATCTTCTCTACTGTACATCAAGTGTGAGGCCTTTTCAGAAGTGACTGGGTCTAGAGTGTACGATACTGGGATTGATTCATTGTGCAACGCTAGGATCAAGGGCACTAGGACTGAGGGTGCCTGCTCCCCGCCCTGAGTAACCTGGATAAGATAAAAGGCAGAAAGACACTGTTAAGGGTACCAGCCTGCTTTGCTATCAGATGCCTGCCATGAAACTATTTCTCCTCTGTGACTCAGTGGCCTTGGAGCCAGCAAATTATGGACTGAAACCTCTACCAACTGTGAGCTAAATAAACCTTTTCCCCTTTAACTTTGGGTGCCAGGTATTTTGTTTCAGCAATGAAACAAAAGTAACCAAGACAACTGGCAACATGGGGATGATTTATACTTCCAAGGACATCTGTGCTGTGTGCATGGACTGTGCAGCATGCAGGAGATCCAGGAGTCCAGCCCCCAGTTCAAGTCCAGCTTTGCTCCAGCTACATGGTCTCCTGGCCTCCAGCCTCTCTCTGCTCCTCTTCCTGTCTGTTGAATGGAGGTACACCAAATTCTCAAACGACTGTAGGGGTCAGGTGAAATGGTTGGCACAAACACGCCCCCAATACCTCCTCTACTTGGCTGTTTCTTCCCATTGCACATGCAGGGCAGCTCATCCTGGCTTCAAGAGGCTGTTAGGGAGCCCACTGGCACCCACCTCTGAATTGCACAGGCCTCAGAACTTTTCTGGTCCCACCGACCCTCTGAAGGGCAGGGCAGGCCACTGACCACAAGGCCCCCTTTCAGGTCTAATGCTGGGTATTCCTCCTTTAGAAGAGTAAGCTCACAGCCTAAGAACTCAAAGCAAGGTGATGAAAGGCAGTAATGTCCCCTTCCCACTCACATTCCCAAAGGGGGACTATCGATCTCAGGCAACTGGACAAGGCCTCATCAGCCCAGGAGCATATGTGCAGGACTGCAGCTGAGGCCACCACAGGGCCATCTGCTTGGCCTCAAGCCGGCTCACTGCAATGACCAACTTCCTTTTTCACATTAAATGAGAGCAAAATTTGTAAGAAAGAAAGGATGTGCTAGTCGTGTTAAGCTCTGTGTGGTCGGGTGCCGGCCAGCAAGTCATGTTTTCTCAAGACAGAATCTGGGAAGCCTTGTCAGCACACCAAGGGCTGATTCCTGGAACTTGGGCTGATCTAAGTAACAGGGACGCTGAACGCCTGTGTGGAGGCCTTAAAAGGAAAGTCTGTTCAGAAAGAGACAAAGGGACTGACTTATGTGTAAACTTAAAAGAGAAATGGGCAATGGGAAAATTCTTCATGTTTAAACACACAGCAGCAGGGTCAGACAATTAAGCTGTTGGCGGATTAACCCACAAATTCCAAGTTCTGATAGGAAAATCTTTTCTTAAATAATTTAAAAAATACCTGGACACTCCCACCTTAAAGCTTACCTACACAAATTTCAGTATTTATAAATAGGACGCAAACACTGAGTTATATTTACCATGAACTCACTCTAGCAGACAAACCACAATGCCACCAAAGCTAATCAATGTGAAACCGACTCATTTCTCAGACTTAAACATCACTAATGACACCGACCAGAGAGACACGAAGAATCTTAATCTGACCAAAAGGTACAAAGGCAGTTTTGGCCAAAGTCCCTTGTGTGGCCACATGGGCAGGTTTAGTGCAGGGACCTGCAGGTGGCTCTGTCCCCAGCTGGCCTCAGCGGTCCAGGTGGGCAGTGAGCCCTGGAGTGCAGTCGCTGAGGCAGGTAGGGGGGATACTAGGTCCCCGTGGCAGGCAAGTACCACAGGCCAGGTTCCTGCTGACTACAACGGGTCAGCGCGTGGCAGCTGGTCTGACACCCACAGTGTTCCTGGGCCGAAGCAGACTCCCAGCCAGGGCCTCGAAGCTGTCCAGGCGGCTTGCTATCCACCCGGCCCTGTCAGGCTTCCTCCGGCTGGGTCAGGGGATGCCCTCCTTCCGCTGGCAGCACTGCGAGGGAGGCGCAGACCAGTCGTACTCATAGGAGAGGCGCAGCTGCACCTCGCGCGCGCACAGCCGGCCGTCGCGCAGCAGCGAGCGCTGCTTCTCCAGCATGTCCTCCGGGCTCTGCTTGTGTGTCACCAGGTACTTGTTGTTGCAGCCGCGGGACTTGTACTCAGTGTCGAAGCGCGGGTCGTGCTCGCGCTGCACGTCCACGGGTGCCAGCCAGGCGCCCAGGGACACGTCCTCACTGTGCCACTCGCGCAGGTACTCCCGGCTGCGGCGCAGGTAGCGCACCAGGTCGGCCGACAGCACGTAGCCGCCGCCTAGTGCATAGGGCAGGTAGTAGTCGCACAGTTGCCAGGCAGCCTCGCGCCAGCGCCCCGCCGGCTTCACGCGACCGCGGCCGGAAAAGAAGCCCCAGTAGAGGCGGCGGCGGCGCGCAGGCTGGCGCGCGCGCAACTCGTCTACCAGGGCGTCCAGCCGCGCGAACGTGTCGTCGTCTGCTTTGAGCACGAACTCGAAGGCCACGTGCTCGTCCAGCCAGGCCAACATGGCCAGCACCTTGGCCGTGAGGTTCTCATAGGCGTCGCGCAGCGAGGGCAGCAGCAGCAGATCGCCGTGCCGCGCCTGCTCGCGCTCCAAGGCGCGGCGCTCCTCGGCGCCCAGGCCGCCCGTGCCCACGGCG